ACAATGCATAGAAGCCTCACTTTTGAAATGGAGTGGCCTTTCTTTGCAAAATATTTTTGGGATCTATAGCAAATATGTGTCCTTATGAGAGATACTTTTTATGATCTATAATATAATCATAGAAATACTTGCTTGTTTATAATGCCTTATCTATCATTTCAAAGCATTTCAAATGCTTCACAGCTGGTTTGGTAAGCAAACAAGGCACAGCATGAAGCTAATCTGGAGGCTTGTTGGAGAAACTCCCTTCATGGTATGAACAAATACTGCCCAAATAATGATTTGTCTGCACCGGGAGAACAAGAGAGGAATGTTGTTTGTGGAGTAAAGAGACTAGGATAGAATCGTAGGGATATAGAGACAAATCAATATTCTGCAGGTTTGCTTAATACTTTTGGGTTCAGAGAATATCTACTCAATATTTTTCTCCAAGAGACAGAGTGGGTTGAAATGACGTGTTTGTGTTCACGTGATAACAACTCCGCACAGATGCTGTCAAACTTAAATAAAGTCCTGGGCTTCATATCAAGAGTAATAAAATACCAAAGCAAGGAAGTAATGTTAAATTTATATAAAAATTGTGTTGCCTGACAAATCCATAACAAAGGGGCATTAATATAATTTAGCCACTAATATTTCTAAAACAGAGTTTAGGAGGAAATTCTTCACACCAAGGGTGTTGAGAATGTGGAACCCGCTGCCAGAAGCCACAGTTCAAGCAAAATATCAAAACGTTTAAGAGGAAACTCAATGTCTACATGACAGAGAAAAGAATAGAAGAGTACAGGGGGAAGGACTGCATGGAGAATTAGGATGGATAGAAGCTCACGTGAAGCGTAAACACAGCATGGACTAGATGAGTTGATTGACTTGTTTCAGTTCTGTAGATTCTATTTCATTTTGTTGATTTCTTTACTCTCATGGCTGCAATGAGTTATTAGGAAGGGTGTTAAAGGCTTGAATGCTGGATTCATTTAAGTTTGATGCTGAAATGGGAAGATGGATATTCTAAAGCAGGCCAATGAGCAACCCATGGGCCACATAACGCAGGCGTAAAATAGAACCAGATTACCAAGAATGCCATAGATGAATGACTCAGTTTCAATGTTCCATTGCTAAGTATGTCATGTTGGAGCCAGCTCAGCTCCAAGGAGAGTGCACTTACCTCCCCCCCAACCCCCCAACCATCACCAGGAGCTTGTCCTCATACAATTTACCTGTAAAAGTAATTACGTTTTTGGAAGCACCATATCCTTTGGGTAGTAGATTAATTTCACATGCTCAATGTGTTGTGATCCTAAAGCAAAATGTTACGGCATTAGTACTTGAAAAGTAAATAATAATATGAACTTCATATCATGCAGATACCAGCACTAATTTGGTTTCTTCGATATTTTTAGATCGCACAAACTGGTTAAGTATAAGTTGCTTTGAACACAGCTGTTATTTTACTTTAAAGTTTATGCTTTACATATGTTGCTGTTACTAATTCAGAGAATAGAAGAAATGTCAGTGACTAGGACATTCAGCACATCAAAGCGCATCCTCTGAACCAGCAAACTTTTATCTTTTCAAATATGCCTTACTTTTCTACTTTGAGGGCTTTAATTAATTCAACACCATAAAATCTAGTTTTAACTGCACACTTTTCTCACTTTCATGTTGTTTTTATGTTTAGATTCCAAGTAATCTCTTCCAGCAATGTTCATCCTGTTACTTGCCAAGAAATTTGAATGCAAGTGCTGTTAATTTATAACCTAATTTGTGTCATCTACTGTGTGGTCATGAAATTAATTGTCTGCCTTCTGAAATCCTTGAAATTCAATCACTATCTAACAACAAAAGCATGCCAAGTTTTAATGAGCGATAGTCTTGTGAAAATATTCAATTCCTCTTGAAACAAAATAAATTGTATTAGTTTCTAAAATTATTAGCAATAGTAAACTGGCAGAAACTCCAGTGTACAACAGCTTTAACATTTTAACTATAATAGCTGTGAGATAAAGATCACCTAGTAGCTCCCAGGGCCTGTTGAAATTTTTTGAAGAGACACATGGGGTCATCCAGAGCAGTTCTATCCTCCCTTGAACTTTCTTTAAAATAGTTAAACACACTGAATCCCATGCCAGAACAAAATAAAGCTGACTAAATCAATAGAGATATACATAGTTATAATCTGAAAAAATCCATTTATAGCTTTTAGAGTTAATTGCAATTTTTGAACAGACTCTAATCCAGGTCTATCCTCCCTTGATACAATACAATAGAAAATTACATTTGTATAGCGCCTTTCACATCAGCAGGATGTCCCAGAGCAGTCAGGGATTTAGACCCGAGCTGGGGTCGGGATCGGGGATGGTGGAGGGCAGCGAGGGTAGGAGATAAGGCTCGGTCAAAGAAGAGTGTTTTGAGATGCGCCTTGAAGGAAGCAAGGGAGGGATCAAGACAAAAGGAATGCGAGTTGGAGTTCCATAGGGTAAGGGCAGAGAGGCTAAGGCCTGGCTGCCAATGGTGGGGTGGCCAGATGGGGGATGTAGAGCAGGCCAGAGCCTGCTGAGCGGAGGAAGTGGATAAGTTGATATGGGGTCAGCAGGTTGCAAGGAGGGGCAAGGCCATGGAGGGCCTTGAAGGTGAGGACGAGGATTTTGAACTCTATCCCCTGGGGGATGGGGAGCCAATAGAGTCAGGCGAGGGTGGGGATGATGGGGTCTCGGAGCCTGTTCCGGGAGAGGACACGAGCTACAGAGTTCAGGATGATCTCCTCTGCCTCCTTGTCCTCCTGGATTTCTCTGCTCCGTTCAACACAGTTGACCATGCCATCCTCCTCCACCGCCTCTCCTCCATCATCCACCTTAGTGGAACCGCACTTGCATGGTTCAAGTTCTACTTAACCAACCACCTCCATTTCATCTCAGCAAATGGTTTGTGCTCCTGCTCCCACCCGATCACCTGTGGGGTACCCCAGGGCTACATCCTTGACCCTCTTCTTTTCCTTATCTGTGTGCTCCCTCTGGGCGATGTCATCCGCAGACACGGGGTAAACTTCCACATGTAGGCGGATGACGCAGTCATCTATTTTGCCTCCTCCAGTACCAACTCCAGGTCCGCCAATTTTCTATCAGCTTGTCAGCAGACATCGGGGCCTGGAAGAATGCAAACGTCCTGTTGAATGTGGACAAGATGGAAGCCATACTCTTTGGCTCCCATCAACATCTTCACTCCTGCAGATCTAAACTTCTCAACCTCCCTGGACTCTCCCTCAGACTCTCCGAACCGGTGCACAATCTAGGCGTCCGGTTCAACCCCCAGCTGTCCTTCCTCCCCCACATCCGGTCCCCGACTCCGACCACCGTACCCCAAATGCCGGCAAGACCCTCATGCATGCGTTTGTCACCTCCCACTTGGATTACTCAAACGCACTCCTCACCGATCTCCCCAGCTCCACTATTCAAAAAATCTAGTTCATCCGGCACTCTGACGCCTGCATACTTACCTGGACCAAATTCCGTACCCACATTTCACCAGTTCTGGCCAGGCTCCACTGGTTCCCCATCACCGAAAGGATTGACTTCAAGATCCTCACACTTGTGTCCAAATCCCTTCACTCTCTAGCACTGAAGCCTGAAGCCTTCCTCTTCGACCATGCCTCTGGCCACCTCGCACTCCCAAGCTCGGAGTCAAGCTCTGCCACTGTTAAGTGCTCTGAGATACTACCCTGCATGGAGGGCGCTATACAAGTACAAGTTGTTGTTGTCCTCCCAATGTGAAAGGTACTGTACAAATGTAAATTTGTTGTTGTTGTTGTGGAAGAGTTGGGAAGGCCAAGAAGTAGGGAATTGGCATATTTAACCTCAAGTAGTAAATGATTAAATACACTAAATCGCACAGAAGATCAAAAAGCATGGCAAAGTCAATATTTAGTGATATACACAGTTGCCGCAGGTTCATATTTGTAACAGTACTCCTTTCCATTTCTTAATGGAGGGTAAGAAGTAAGATTACATGAAATTAAAGAAGAAAAGGCCATGCGGATCACCAAACTCATTCTTTTAAACCAACTGTGTTTGCTTTGTCAAGACTGTACCTGATGGAGGTAAATAACCACAGATAAAATTCCCAAGAGGATAACATTTCTCACCAAACGATAATCAAGTGAAACTCCATATTACAGTCTAATATTTCAATGTTTATTCACAAGTTCGCAAGGTTGGTTCAGATGAAGAAGGCCCTTCAGCCCATATGATTCTCATCCTTCCAGAATGTTCACCTTCCTCTCTTTCCATCACAGCATTATTCATAAATGGGTCCAGGATACTAGCCTCAACCACCCTTCTTGGTAACCTGTTCCAGTTGTTAATTATTTTCTGGATGAAGAAATACTTCCTTTTGTCTGTCCTGGCCACAGGCATGGTCAAAGAAGTAGGGTATTAGATGAAATTCAAAAGCAGAATAAGAAAGCAAGACAAAGGGATAGAGAGAGGAAATACCAGAGATTAGAGGTGTAGTTACTGAAGGTGGTGGTGGTAATGGTGGGGCAGAGGGAGTGAGAAATACACAGCAGGCCAGCCAGAGTTTACTGAGCAGAGAAGGGCAAGCAGAAGAGTGGGGTAGGAGAAGGCGACAGTGATAGGGAAGTGTTAGGATGTAAAGGGGCTTATAGGTGAGAGAAACTTATTTTGCAAACTTTTGCTGATTGGTTTGCTTAGTTTGGTAATAATACTTAAAACATCTTTTTGACGCATCTTGTTTAATATTCACACTTTGCTTTGACCTGGGATACTCATGATATTTCATAACCACCTGGATACTGTTGCAATTTTCCGTTATTTTAACTGCAGTAAAATAACAGAAAATGTTATTTCCGCTATTTTCTATCTGTTATTAGATTCAGTTGTCTGATAAATGATGGGCAAGAATGGATGCAACAAGAAACAGAACAGAGAATCCTTGAAAATATTAAAATACTAAAGCATTCAGATTGCCTGTAAAACTCAACTTACACATTTGTCTTCAGATCCTGTGGCCAAGAACCTCCCACAGGGACTAAAGGCAATCCCACAGGGCTGGCAGCGATTGTGGTATCCTTCATATCGACGGACAGATCTGAAAGAAAAGCACAGGTGGATTAGTCTGCTAAGAAGATAATCATTGTTATAAAAGAGCTACTTTACTCTCTCTCTGAGTTAATTTGCCTTTGATCTGTTCTGATTTCATTTTTTTCTATTAACTGGAAACAATCATCTAAATTTCCCTTGAATAATGATTAAAGCAAGGTTAACGCATAAGTTAATTTTTCAGTTAATTTCACCGCCCCACCCCCTCCCATTATTATAAGCTTAATATCCAAGAGCCTGTATCACATTTTCATTGTTGCTAAATGTTAACAAAATAGGAAAAGTGAGCTATTGTGCTGCATTTGCCTAAAAAATTCACAGAATATTCTGTGTAGTGCTTGTTTCGAAGATGTGATAAGGTGCTAAATCAAATCTAAGGATTATAATTTTTATTTATTATTAGAAATGCGTGGATTAACATTCATGAATGTCAAGGACAAGTATTCGACATATTAAAATAATAATAATCATCGTTACGATTAATAGTCACTGTGTGATTTTGGGGGGAGAAAGTGGCAGCCTAATTGCGCACTGTGAGAAACTCCCTTCTCTTTTCGAATAGTGCCATTAGATCTTTAACATCCACCTGAACAGGCAGAGACGACCTGTGTTTAATTTCTCATCTGAAAGACTCCCTGCTCTTCAACATGGAGGTAGTATCTTAAGGTCACAAAATTGGTTTGGATGAAGGCTTTTCAACTCATCTGATCTAATTTTTCCAGAATGCCCAACCTCCCATCCTCCCATCACAGTACCAAGCTATTTTTCAAATATATCTACAACACCAACAAGATTACATTTGTATAGCGCCTTTCACGTCGGGAGGATGTCCCACACTTGTTGGCAACCAATTCCAACTTCCTGGTATTTGTCCTGAAAAAGTACTTTACAATTCTAAACATATGGTCTCTCTTTCTACTGTCTTGGTGCATCCTAAAGTATTGATCTGGGTTTGCTTTTTCAATCCCATTGAAAATATTATACACCTCTATGTGCTCCCTTCTGAGTCATCTTCTCTCAAGACTGAAAATCCACAATAACAACTTGCATTTAGACAGCAATCTTTACATGGGGTAGTGTCTCAAGGCGCTTAACAGCAGCGGGTCTTGAACCAGATCCAGGGAGAGAGGGAGAGCATGGCCGCTGATGGTAGAATGGAGGAGACGAGGGGCTGAAGCCAGGTGAGCATAGGGGTACTGGAGAAGTGGGGTATAAGCAGGTCGAAAAGGTAAGAAAGTGCCAGAGCATGAAGTAATTTGTACATGAGTTTGTGGATCTTGAAATCAATCTTTTCTGCAGTAGAGAATCAGTGGAGCTTGGCAAGGACTGGAGTGATGGGTATGCAGAGGTTGGTAGGGATGAAGATATGGGCTGGAGCCCTAGCTTGTCTAACATTGCTCAACAACAACAACTTGGATTTATATAGTGCCCTCCACGCCGGACGGCGTCTCAGAGCACTTCACAGTAACGGATCCCGGGACCGAGCCAGAGGGAAGGGGAAGAAGGTGACCAAAGGGCGGGCGAAAAGAAAGGTCTTCAGCCGAGACCTGAAAATAGGAAGAGCGGGGGCGAGGCGAAGGGAGTGAGGAAGGGAGTTCCAGAGCCTCGGGGCATAGTGGCTGAAGGCATGGCCGCCGATGGTGGAGCAAAGGAGTCGGGGGACAAGGAGGAGGCCAGACCCGGTGGAGTGAAGGCAACGGGCACTGTTATGAGGAGACAGGAGATCAGAGAGGTAGGGGAATGCAGAGGAGTTGAGGGATTTGAAAACAAGGGTGAGGATCTTGAAGTCGATCCTTTCTGGGACAGGCAGCCAGTGCAGTCTGGAAAGGACTGGGGAAATCGGGGAGCGGAGTTTGGTGTGGGTAAGAATGCGGGCTCATATTTAATTCCTCTAACATTAGGGATCACCTTGTTGCTCTCCTCTGCACCTACTCTAGGGCTTGTGCAGTTTCCTTATGTCACACTGACCAGAACTGTACAACAAAACAACAAAATTACATTTGTAAAGCGCCTTCCACGTTGGGAGGACATCCCAAGGCTCTGGACAGACAGAATTATGGAACCGAGCTGAGGGTCGGGGTGGGGGAGGGTGGAAGGCAGGGGGGAAGCAGAGAGATCGAAAGCACGGTCGAAGAGGAGGGTCTTGAGGTGGGTCTTGAAGGTGGCGAGGGAGGGGACGAGACGGAAGGATTGCGTGATCGAGTTCCAGAGGATGGGTGCAGAGTGGTGGAAGCTCAGTCACCAAAGGTGGGGCGAGCAAGGCTGGTAGGGGGGTTAGGAATTCGGAGAGGTAGGGGGAGCAAGACCGTGGAGGGCTTTGAAGGTGAGGACCAGGATCTTGAACTGTGTCCTCTGTGTGCTGGGAAGCCAGTGGAGTTGGGCAAGGACGGGGGTGAAAGGGTCGTGGAGCCTAGTGCAGGAGAGGACACAGGCTGCAGAGTTCTGGATGATCTGCAGCCTGTGGAAGGAGGAGTTGAGGAGGCCGACAAGCAGTGAGTTTGCATTGTCGAGCCTCAACGTAATGAAGGCGTATATGAGGGTTTCAGTGGCCCGCGGTGTGAGACAGTATCGGAGACGGACGACGTTGCGGAGGTGGGGGAAGGCAGAACGAGTCATGGCGTAGATGTGGGGTACAAAGGATAGTTGAGGGTCAAACAAGACGCTAAGATTCTGGACTGGCTTAGTAAGGTGGAGTGTGCAACCATGGATGGTGATGCTGTCAGCGTCTGAGGTGTGGAGGCACTGACAGGAGCCAATCAGGAGAGCTTCGATCTTGTTGACGTTCAACTGAAGAAAGTTAGCTCTCATCCAGGACTTGATGTCTGACAAACATTCTGTCAGGACTGCAGTGATCCTGGAGTCAAGAGTGAAGGCAAAGAGGAAGAGTTGGGTGTCATCCGCATACATGTGGAAGTTGACCCCATGACTGAGGATGATGTCACCAAGAGGGAGCAGATAGATATTGAAGAGGAGGGGACCAAGGATAGAACCCTGAGGAACACCGCACGAGACGGTCCAGGGACTAGAGGAGAAGCCATTTGAGGAGATGAAGTGCAGGCGGTGTGAGAGGTTCGATCTGAACTGTACATAGTACTGAAGGTACTGTCTGACCACAGCACTATACACCCAAGTATGGCATCTGGGGATCTAAACTCAACTGATTTAGCAATATTGCCCAGCATCCAGCTTGTCTTGTTTATTGCTGTCTCACACTGTTTTGACATAGAGACTTAACATTCAATTGAACCAGCAGTCACGGCTTCCACTTAACATCTCCTCCAAAGGTTGACACCTCTGACAGTGCAACATCTCTCAGTATTGCATTTGAGTGTCAAACCTACATTATGAAGTGCAGATTCTGATGTGAGGCTCAAAACCAAAACCTTCTGACCAGGAGGTGAAAGTTCTGCTGCTTCAGTGAGAATGTAATCAAACAGCACTTAGCAACTAAATCTTGCAAATGCTGTCAGTACTTGGTGTGCATTCGTGCTGACCCTATCTCAGGCACACAAACAGAGGCTTAGGTCAGCGTCAAAGAATGTTAAAAACAGCTGTTTTTGTTTAGTGACAGTTCTCATGAAATGAAAAAAGTATATACTTTCATGGAATATATTTTCATGGGCTATTTAAAGGCTCATAATCAGTTCCTATGAGAGTGTCAAAACAAAATAATAAGGATGAATGGCATTTTTCTGTTTGTTATAGTTTTTTAATGTTGAGATATTATCATTTGGCAACAATTTCTCCCACGCTCAACATCTTAAGACCAGTCAGTGTAATTATTAGCATGTGAAAAGTGGATGGAAATTTAGAACAGTTGTGTGGGTGAAGAAAAGCCATAGAAATAAATTTTGAATTCTTATTGGCATCACAATAGCAAAATTAAATAACTACTTTCCTTTTTCAAAAAAGAACTACAAAAGTGCTTATTGAAAACATACTGTAGGTTTAATAAATAAATAAATCCTCTTGTGGCTTCAGTCAAATACCATAACTATCCCTACTGGTGAAGCTTACCATAACTCACTCGCAATGGGCAACTTAAATTGTGGAGACAATTATGCTATCTCACTGCTCCCAAAGCAAATCATCCAAGCAAACTCAGTCTTTTAAAGAAATAGAGCTTTTTTTAAATCAAACTTAAGAGACGCACGCTGTAATGTACACCTCGGATCATCCAAAAAGGCTTAGACTGTAAAAGGGCTTTTTAATAAAGTGCTACAACACTACAACATTAAAATCTTAATAGATCTGCCAGTCTATCAATAGTTGAATGTATCAAACAAGCATTAATCAGAGAAAATAATTGTGACTTAAATTATGCATTCATTTCTTTAGGTAAACAATCGAAAATTTACGTTTTAAAATAGAAATGTTTAAAGCGTCTGTCTTGTATTTAACATCAGCATTTGATAACTTTTCATATTTCTTGTTCCCCTAAAAGAGAGGGTGACAGTGACCACCAGATGACTCTCATTGTTCTGTTGTTCGTTTGAATTCAAGTCAGTGCAGATCTCAGCTGGGTCAGCAGTTGAGATGCTACAGTTGGACACAATTCCCTGGGGAAGAGAAAAAATCAGCCAACATTCCTGCTTCTGCTCTCTATCCAGTGACCTTACTGGAAAGCACATATATGGTTGATGAGGACAGGATTCAGTTCAGACATGATTACGTCCCACCGCCTTCCCCCAGTGTGAAATAGCCGAGTGACTCTCTCACTAAACTCGAATATAAAGATTGGATGTTTGGTGAAAGAGTGCTATATAAATGGTGTTCTGGAAATGAATTCAGGAATAGTCCTCTGGAGAGCAGGGAAGAATATTGGCAAAAATAAACCCTCAAACATCATGGCAATATTGTTTTTAGACATTTCTCTGCTTCTCATGTATGTCACAGCAAGTTATATAATCATTCTGCATTAAATAAATAATAATCCTTGTATTTGATATAGCACCTTTCAAGGTGAGGGGACATCTGAAAGGGCTACAC